TACCTTCACACACATCAACCTGTCTGACTCTCTTTTCACCTCTACCACATTTCTTACATATTCTTCCTTTAGGATCACCCCTACTCCATTTCTCTTCCCATCTGAACCATGATAAAACAGCTGCCCTTCCACCTGGTCTCCTGCACACACAAAATATCTACTCTTCTTCTCTCCATCGCATCAGCTATTTCTGTACTTTTCCCTGTCATTGTACCTACATTCCAAACTTCAGACCAACACTTCTATTCTTCCTCTTTTCTCTTTTTCTCCTAACCAAACGCCCTCCTCTTCTTCTCTGTCTTTGATCAACAGTAGCCCAATTTCCATCAGTGCCCTGTTGGTCAATGGCACTGTTGGCGGTCGTTGTTAACCCGGGCCTCGACGGATCCGGTATGGAAATTGTTTTATTGATCTGCATATTTAATTTAGCTAAAGGTTTTACGCCGGATGCCCTTCCTGACGCAACCCTCACCATTTATCCGGGCTTGGGACCGGCACTATAAACACGGCTTTGTGAACCCTAGTGGCTGGCTTACCGTGTGATATTAATTAAATATATAAAATAACATCATTTAGGCCACCTACAATACTTTACATTATAATTTTTATACTAAAGTAAAATTGTTTGTAGAGGCACATAATCTTAGGGGATGTTTTGGAGGTTAGTAAGTGTTTGTTTGAACGTTTCCCATCTGTTTGCGTTATAGATCAACTCAGTGATGGCAGACTTTGATCTCAGTCTGTTTTGGTCCAAAGGGTCAGAAGTTGACTACAAGCTCCTGCTTCAGAACCTAGTAGGCTGGAAAAAGAAGGTATGATATTTTTGTTGTTTCTTTTTGTTTGTTTTGTTTTTTGTTTAGTTTGTTTGTTTGTTTTTTTATAAATAAACCTCAACTAATTTGTTAACTAGACAACCTCTCTTGTCAGCGGATCAAGGAGGTCAGTGGACTGATGATAATGAAAACATATGTCTGTGGTGAGGATATTAGTAGTCAGCAATGAACCGTGATAATGTTTCTGAATTGTGCTGCACCAACACTTCTACCATTCTGTGGTGAATGTCTTGCAGTTGAGCTGTGTCAGTTGTTCTAGCTGTAAAACTAGGCTTATCACTTTTAGCTCACACAGTGACCTGATTAGAAACATAGAAAATAATACTGAATAAACCTGGCTGTTATGCCTTTTTTTTGTCTATAAATGGCAGTGTTAACATTGAGCTGTGGTGTTGCAGTGTAGTTGACCACTACCTGTATGTGGGATGTGGGTTAATATGTAACGGAATATCAGGACACAGTCAGGATGACTGGACAACATTTGGAAAGGTCCTCGTATCTGAACACCTCACACATCTGTCTCTCCTCTGTCAGGACCTCAGAGCTGGAGCATGAGCCTCTGTGTGACTCTTTCTACAGGGAAGCAGATGCCCCTGCTTGGTCTTGGTACATGGAAGAGTGCTACAGGACAGGTGATGCTGTTCACTTGTCTGATAGTAATAATTATTTATCAAGTATAAAACATCTGTGTCTCTCTTTTCCTCAGGTGAAGCAGGCAGTGCTGGCAGCCTTAGACTGTGGCTACAGACACATCGACTGTGCTGCTGCATACAGTAATGAAGAGGAGGTGGGACAAGCTCTGGCTCTGAGGGTCGGTCCTGGTAAGGTGAGACAGTCTGACCCGTACTCTGACCCAGCTCTGGTCTACCTAAGGTTTCTGGCTTGATTCCTCAAGGTAGCAGCTTTAAATGAAGCAGAGGCATTTCTAGAAAGTGGTGGCTAAAATATATGATCCATAAGTGATTCAAAATAGAATCAAAACACATTATAAAAACATGTCTAATTTCTTAAATTGTCAGAAAGCATTAAAAGTTTTTTTTTAAATGAAGGCAGCTATGATACACATAATACTTCATCTTTACTACTGCATATAATCTCAGTATCACTATCTCTACTACCTCAATTTCAGACCCTTTGTTTTTATCTAAAATGACAAAAAAAACACAAAAACTTCAATACATTTAAGTGTGTTTTTTTTTTCTTTTTTCAATATCTATTACTTTCTACCTCAGAATCTGCCACGTGAGGAGGTATTTGTAACTTCCAAACTGTGGAACACCAAACATGACCCACAGGATGTTGAAGAAGCATGTAGGACCAGTCTAGCCCACCTGGGTCTCTCCTACCTGGACCTCTACCTCATGCACTGGCCAATGGCATTTCAGTGAGACTGCTTTACACTCATTGAACTGACCCTGTCTCCCTCTGGTGTCCTGCTTTTGCTCCATGAAGTAGAGCTTGTAGAAATTTCAAATGTGTTTTATATATATATATNNTTTGATGACTCAGGTCTGGTGAAGAGCTGATGCCTCGACGAGAGGATGGAAGCATTTGTTACTCAGACACTCACTACAGAGACACATGGAAGGCCATGGAGTGTTTACTGGATAAAGGTCTAGTCAGAGCCATAGGCCTGTCTAACTTCAACGCCAGACAGACTGATGAAATCATCAGCGTGGCCAGACACAAACCTGTGGTCAACCAGGTACCATGTGTAACACTAGCTGACCAAAGTGTTTTATAGTGTTTTATAAATAAAATGATCTTTTATCCTCTCACCACAGGTGGAGTGTCATCCCTACATGATTCAAGCAGACCTGCTCTCTCACTGCCGGTCAGTGCAACTGAATAATCCAAATTATGGAATTATCCATTTGGAAAAATCTCAAGAAAAATATACAAAAGTAACACTCGAAATTCTGCTTCATGGAGTTGAATTGTAGTTATTACTGTTCATCTTGGTAGCGGCTTGTAGAATGCGTCAAGAGTCGCAACTTTCAAAACTTCAGTAAAGCATCAACAATATTAATTAGTCTAGAGCAGGGGTGTCAAACTCAAATTCACAGTAGGCCAAATTTAAAAACTGACAGGAGGTCTTGGGCCGAACTTAAGATTTATTGAAAAATTTAAAGTAGTTGTTCATGTTTTTACTTGTCTCCAGATCTGTAATGTAGGAATGTTTTCATATGGAAACAAACTTTAGTTTTGTGTAAACATTGGATCATTGAATTAATATTATAAACACATGAGAAGTTAAATTTAAATTTAATAAATTAAATTAAACACATATCAGTCGTATTAGTTTCTTATTATGTTTTTTTATCTGTAGCCTTTCCAGTTCCTTTTTAATGTTAATCTTTTTTCACAGGCCAACAAAAAAAACAAAACAAAATGTATGTGATATAACATAGCAAACATTGCTAATACTAAATACAAAGCCTGTCTGTATATAGGGGCTATATACTGGTGGACCAACTCTAGTACACATTTGATATGATCTCATGGGCAAATATAATTACACTGTGGCCCAGATTTGGCCCCCGGGCCTGAGTTTGACATGTGTGGTCTAGAGTTTATTTGAATAAATTTAGCAAGTGTCTCAGTCTGCTTGAAAGCCATAAACTGACTTTGTTTGGCTGTGAGGTTGTTGTTCCTCCTATATCAGTCACAAAGAAAACACCTCTGTCGCAGGTCAGTAGGAGTGTGTGTGACAGCCTACAGTCCTCTGGGCAGTGGAGACAGACCGTGGGCATCTACTGATGAACCCAGTCTACTGCAGGATCCTCAGCTGAAGACCATCGCCCTGAGATACCACAAGACCCCAGCTCAGGTCATACTGAGGTTCGGTTTCACCATCACTACACACTGTCACCTTTTACAGTTTCTGTAACAACTGCAGACTCATTATCATGGTTGTTTGTTGTCTGCAGGTGGAATGTTCAGAGGGGTGTGGTGTGTATCCCTAAGAGTGTGACACCCTCTAGAATCCAGCAGAACATACAGGTGTTTGACTTCTCACTCTCAGAGGATGACATAAAGCTGATCGATTCCTTCAACCGCAACACTCGATTCATCGTCCCTTCTGTGGAAGTGAGTCTGTGATCTGACATGTGGCATCTTGCAGCAACCCAATCCATATTATAACATATTACATCACGATACAAAACACAAAATATTTGTCTGATTGTGTTTGTTCAACAGAGAGACGGTAAGAGGGTGTGGAGAGACGCAGGACATCCTCATTTCCCCTTCTGTGATCCTTACTGAGGCCATGCTAGACTCTCTCTTAAAAAAAAAAACAAAACAAAAAACCTAGTAAAAGGTAATTATCCGGCAGCTCAAATGCCACAGAATTACCACCCCAAAAAAAAGGCAAAACCACTATCCTGTTAGAGATAGTTATTTCCCATAATTAAAATACAACTTAATACTGAAATACTATATTAATTTCACCATGGAAAATGAGTTACGAGGAACTTTGACTGGTTGATAAAACTATTCAATGTCCTTCACAAGAAAATAGAATATCTTAAAAGTGTTTTGGGAGGCAGGGATTTTAACCCAGGGGTCTTATGTAGAAAGAAACATGGCGTCCAGAAACTGGTGTATGCACAAAACAAATCAGCTTGTTTTTATGGACCTTATAGACATATTTTACTATAAAAAAGATCAAAACATGTAATTAAATGTTAAGCAAAGCAATGAGTTCATGTCTGTTTAATTTTAATTGTTTTTTTAAGGTACAACAGCTGATTTTTAGAGATCATTTTTTTAAATTTCAAAAGCATGAAACCACAATGGTAATATATTATTATTTTCTTTAATGTGAATTAAAGAAAAAAAATATTTTCACATAAATACTATGGTATTAATGTGAATACCATAGTATTTTAAAAGTCCATTGTCTCCTTCTCCGAGTATCACATCTGACTTTTCTTTAGAATTATCTCCAAATCAGGGCAGTGTTGGTACTCTGGTTCCTGTGGCTCTACCCAGGTGGATTGTGGGAGTTTACTTAGGTTGCCAAGAGGAAAGGTAATGGTTGCTGTGTCACCGAAAACATCAATAAAACGTGTTGGACAAGGCAGTTGTTTCTCTTCGCAAACATCCAAAGCCTGGTTCATGTAGCTGTAGTCACGCTGAAATTCTCTGTCAATCGACCTGTTTGTAGAAAAGTTGACCAAAAGTTAGTGTAATAATTTCTTAAAATTTTCCAAACTTGACAATCATCTCCCTCATAATTGTCTTTAACAAACCTGTCCTTCATCCCAGTAAAGCCATTTCCGATAATCATGATCAGAGAAAGACATTTTGTGCTCCAGTTCTTCCATAAAATGTTGTTGTACAGGGCTTTCCCACAATGCATCAGATAGAAGATTGTGGGCTTTGTTGCCAAACGTTTTCCTTCCTTCAAAATAAAGTAATTAAAGTTAAATGCCAAATGACAATATGAACCATTGCTCCTAATCTTAAATACATGTGATGATTTCTTATTTAATTTAATTCAATAATTTTATTTATTTTTTTGTCAAACAACAAACCTCATCAACTCTCAGTTTGTTCTAAAGATTGTTCTTTATTATTAGCTGTGAGCTAGCAGCAACTGTCGTGAAAATATGATAAAATTGTGGCTTATGTCTGCCCTTCTTACTCTATATCTTTATATACTATGCATTCACTGACCTCATTTTCTGAGAGCACATTCAGACCCAGCTTCTTTAAAACCATCTTCTCTCCATTAGAAAATATTGGATCAAAAACCAAACAGTTCTTCAATGGAATCTTGACCAAAAAAACAGTTCATGATAAATATTGGCAAGTGTTAGCAATGGTTATGTTTATACTTAATAAACCCATCTGACCTGCCGTGCATCCAGAAGCAGCAGCAACATAGCAAGCTGAAAACGAGCAGAGGGACAAGAGGAGAAGGAGCCTAGACCGTAACACACACACTCCAGCTGCTGACATGGTCTCCCTTCTTGGCACCGCTCTGGCTCCTCAAATGAATGATCTGTGCGCTCACCCTCAAAAAATCCTGAAAAGGAACTTGCCACCAGGATCTGCTCTGCAAAAAAATAAACAACCAAGGGAAGGGTTAATTTATTTATTTTATATCATTTATATATTAATCTATATTTATAAATAAGTATATATTTGGTTAAGGCATTGTTGATGGGATCAGACACAAGGCGCTTTTTGTATATGATTATACCAAACCTTTTGTTATAGTGTAACTGTTAAATTTTACATCTGCCTAGTTTGCAAATGTTGAATTCAAACTAAAACCAACAAAAGAAAAACAACAGGCCCAAACCTTAAACAGATATAAAGCACAGTAAAGTATCAAGAATATACAAATATAATTTAAAAAAAACATACACACACACACACACATATACACACATATAAAGGCAAAGCTGCATCACAATTATAAAGTACATAAAACAATTAAAATTATATGTCACAGAAAAACAGCAAAGACATTAAAATAATTGTGTTCAATAAATGTATTGAAACTGCAAACAAGGAAAAATGAGGACGAACTTAAAGATAAATGTGACTACGCAAAACATTAATGCAAAACTACGCAGGAAAACAACAAAAGCAATTAAAATCGCTAAAAATAAAAGAGGAAATAAAAGTGTCCAAAACTAAAGCAAACTGTAATTTGGACGTGCTTAACAGTTTCCACACTCACCTTTCCATTTCTGCCAAAACTCTTCACAGCCTAGCTCAGACCTGGAGTAATACAAGAAAAAAAACTTATATGCATTTATGTAATGTGCTCAGTATTAAGTGCAATCATTTAATTTCAAGTAGGTTAATTGGTTTACATACGTTGTGTCTTTAATTCTTTTGACAGTTTTCTCAATGTCCAAGTCCTCCTCCTGACAACGTGCAGATGGTGGAGACCTTTTACGCGTCTTTGATTTTCGTGCTGCGTCTTTTCGCCGCCCGGCTAACTGCCACTCTTTTCCAAAGTCGGTCATTTTATATTCTAATAAGGCCTACAAAGTGTGACATGTTTATTACTCCTTTTTTTAGTGGTAATAATTTGGTTAAGGACATGGGAACAGTATTTAGTGCAACACATTTCTTTTTACTTCCGGTGCGGTTTTATTTTTGAACTATATTTTTGTCCTTAATTGACTCCTTAAATGTATGGATATTCTAAATGTTAAAACAATTTGAATATTTTCCATACATTTAGCATATAATCAAGTAAATTAAATATTTTGTCTTACATGTGGAAGGAACGTCACTTGTGAACCCCGGAAGTTTTAACGTAACGTAACGTAATGTGTAGGCTAGTGCACGTTCAAGCTAACAGCCGATTCGATGGTTAGTTCTTAGTTTCTCCTGCCGAAGAGATTATATTCTACTGATATAAAAGTAAGGTGATGTGACGTTCTGAACATGTATTTTGTGGTTTTATTTCTGAAGTAGGAATGTTTTCAAGCATTTACATTGTCTAAAGGTAGCGGTGACATCGTAATGTAATCGTAATCGTTTTGTTTGGTGTATACGTATTGGTAAAATGCAACGAATATCTTCACAACATACGTTTTAATGTTTTTTTTGTTACAATTTAATTTATAATTATATTTTTTGAAGTAATATATGCGGTAAAGTTGCCACATACTGGTATTTATCTAATATCATCTAAAATACGTAGCATTGCTGATAGGCAAAGTAAATCGTATAGCAATTTGTCATTCACCTTTTATCTGCTAAATTGTCTCTTGTCAACATGTAGCTCATTTTTCATTTAAAAAGGTTGGTTTGTCTTTCAGAAATGTCCATGTCCCACCTTTATGGACGGAGAGGGATGGAGGAGGAAGAGGAAGGCGTCGAAATAGAGAGCTTTGAAGTGACAGACTGGGACCTGGCAAATGAGTTCAACCCAGACCGTCGGCACTACAGGCAGTCCAAGGAGCAGGCAACTTATGGCATCTGGGCCGACAGAGATTCAGATGAGGATGAAAGGCCAAGTTTTGGAGGCAAAAAGTAAGTCACCGGTTTTGGTATCTTTAATATTTTAAAACAACCCTAAAGCCAAATATACAGATCCTTTCCAAAAAATTAGAATATCGTGAAAAAGTTGTTTAATTTCCATAATTCCATTCAGAAAGTTAAACTTTCATATATTCATGGATTCATGGGCCACAATTTAATCAATTTCAGGTATTTATTTGTTTATTTTTTACATAATTTTGGCTTCCAGCTCATAAAACCCACAAAAACAGGATTTCAATAAATTAGAATACTGTGAAGAAATCATCAGGGCATGAATGTTTTAAACTGAGTGTCACACACCAATCATCTACTAAACTCAAAGCACCTGCACAGGTTTCCCCAGGTGTTATTTAATTGCTTTGGTTTGGTTCAATTGTCTCAGTTCGGTTCAATATGGGGAAGACTGCAGACATGACAACTGGCCAGGAGACCATCATTGACACCCTCCATAGGATGGGTAAGCCACAGAAGTTCCTAGCTAAGGAGGCTGGCTGTTCACAGAGTGCTGTGTCCAAGCATATCAATGGAAAGTCTAGTGGAAGGGAAAAATGTGGCAGGAGAAGATGCACTAGCAAAAGAGATGACCGTGGGCTTCAGCGGATTCTCAAACAGAGAAGATTCAAGAATCTGGCAGAGATCCAGAAAGAGTGGACTGAGGCAGGAGTCACAGCTTCAAAAACCACCACATTCAGACGAATCCGGGAGATGTTGGCCAGTGGTCCAAGGTCCTCTTTTCCGATGAAAGTAAAGTGTGCCTTTCATTTGGGAATCAAGGTCCAAGGGTTTGGAGGAAGACGGGTGAGGAACAGAACCCAAGCTGCTTGAGGTCCAGTGTGAAATATCCACAGTCAGTCATGATTTGGGGTGCAATGTCCAGTGCAGGTGTTGGTAAACTCTGCTTTCTTAAATCCAAGGTCACCGCAACAGTCTACCAGAATGTTTTGGAGGACTTCATGATTCCTTCTGCTGAGGATCTGTATGGAGATGCAGATTTCATCTTCCAGCAGGACCTGGCCCCTGCTCATACTGCCAGAAGCACCAAAACCTGGTTTGATGCTCATGCCATCACAGTGCTTGACTGGCCAGCCAACTCGCCGGACCTAAGCCCCATTGAGAATCTATGGGGTATTCACAAGAGGAAAATGAGGGGCACCAGACCCAACAACAAAGAAGAGCTGACAGCAAGCATCAAAGAAATGTGGGCTTCCATAACTCCTATGCAATGCCACAGCCTGATTGCCTCAATGCCACGTCGCATCAAGGCAGTGATTAAGGCAAAGGGATTCCCAACCAAGTATTGATGATTGATATATCATTTTGAAAGTACCATATTTTGATTGATTTCTTTTTTTCTTTATTTATTTTCTGCAAAAACAGTATTCTAATTCACAGTATTCTAATTTATTGAAATCCTGTTTTTGTGGGTTTTATGAGCTGGAAGCCAAAATTATGTAAAAAATAAACAAAAATACCTGAAATTGATTAAATTGTGGCCCATGAATCTATGAATATATGAAAGTTTAACTTTCTGAATGGAATTATGGAAATTAAACAACTTTTTCACGATATTCTAATTTTTTGGAAAGGATCTGTACTAGTGGCAAAACTGAATTTTAAAATGTGCATGAGCATAGATAGTTTTCTGATGGCGTTGCGCTACTACCCATAGTTCCGTAGTCCGCCATCTTGTGTGGCAAAAGAGCGTATAGATAGATATTAAATACATAAAAGAACACCGTTAATGGTAAATACTTGTGTTGCGTGGGCTTCTACCAACAATGGGACAATTTCTAATTTCATCCCAGATCCAAGCAAAAGGAATTACAAGGTCTGTTCTGAACACTTTATTTCGGGTAATTACATTATACTCTTTATTTAATTTATATAATTTTTGTTTTATTTAATTTAATTCATATGTTTAATGTCAATAAAATTAAAATATATCAAAATGTGCTTTGCATACATGACAAATGCACACACTGCAAACATAAATCCTCCATGTAAACTGTTATTCTAATGATATTCACAAGACATACATCGGTATATGTCACTGTGATTTTTACATTAACACACTGTATTATTTGGGGGTTAATAAATACCGTATTATATACATTGTCTGGCCAATTTTCAATGTCCGCCCGTTTCCACTCAGCTTTGTTGACTTCGTATGTGTCTTTTCCATCCGTTATTTTCAACTTGTCCAAGTATCTTGCCTTTGTAATTGTGTCCAGTTAATCTCTATACAACAATTTTGTCTGATCGACCTCCGGCGATTTAATATTCTTGTCTTTTGTTTTCATTATCGATTGTTTACGTCTATCTATTCGCGTCTTTTGCCGCACAACATGGCCAGCGGCGCGATGCATCATGGGTAATAACGATTATCAGAAAACCATCTATAAGGTTGCTGTCTGAATCAAAAACGCCCAGTGAATGCAGATGCAGGAAATACATATTACTTAAATATGTTTTTCCAGATCGAAAGACTACTCTGCTCCAGTCAGTTTTGTAAGTGCTGGTCTGCGTAAGACTGCAGAAGAGGAAAAACAGCAACAAAAAGGAGACCTAGATGATGATGCAGATGATGATGATGCTCCTCCGGCCCGTTCTCCTCAACGCAATGCACCCAAAAGGCTTCAAATGGTAAAAGGATAGTTTATTCTGCCATTTAAATAAAAAAAAATCTATATAAATTAACATGTTATTGTTGGCAGGGTGATTTCAACAGGAAGCAATCTCAGAGGTTTGCAGGTGGAATCCAGCCTGGAAAAGGCATTGGTAGCTGGGAGAAGCACACAAAGGGAATTGGACAGAAGCTTCTACAAAAAATGGGATATCAGCCTGGCAGAGGCTTAGGCAAAAATGCACAAGGTAATGGTGGACTAAGATTCTTAAAAACCTGCAGTTTTGTTTTCTATATTCTAATAAAATGATACATGAATCATTGTTGCTACAGGTATTGTAACACCAATTGAGGCAAAGGTTCGCAAAGGGAAGGGAGCAGTTGGTGCTTATGGCAGTGAACGAACCAAGCAGAGCCTTCAGGATTTCCCAGTAATAGACTCAGATGAGGAGGAAGAAAAGGTACAGTTTAGGTTTTATAACCTGTTTTCATGAGCAGGATCAAGCTATTGATTGAAATTAATTCTTCTGTTCAGTTGGTCTAAAACTTTTCGATCTTCTTATCAAATTCTTTTTAGGAATATCAGAAAGAGCTCGGCCAGTGGCGTAAGGATCCTGCAGGGACACAAGGGAAGAAGAAACCCAAGTACTCCTACAAAACTGTAGCTGAACTGAAGGCTAAAGGCAAACTAGTAGGACGCAGCACACAAGCAGCAACTGCTGGAGAGCTGGCACAAGTCAAGGTCTGTCTAGAATGCATTTTCTGCCCTTGAAGTCTGGGTATTATATTTCATTTTTCAAGGCAAACGTATGTAATTTATATTCATGTAAATGTAATAAGGGCAAACTAAATTGTGAACTTACTTACTAATTTTCTAAACTTTTTCAAGGTGATTGATATGACTGGAAGAGAGCAAAAGGTTTACTACAGTTACAGTCAAATGTCCAATAAGCACAGTGTTCCAGAAGAAGTTCCTCCGAGTGCTTCCAGTAGAGAGCAGAAAGGACCTGGCTTTGCTTTGCCAGAACTTGAACATAACCTGCAGCTGCTAATAGACCTTACAGAACATGACATACTACAGGTACTAAATGAATCAATAATCTGATGCTGTTTTAAATAATTGTTCATATTTTTGAATTATTAAACAAATCTCCCCTTTTCTGGCCATATTCCATTTTTGCAGTCTGCCAGGCGTTTGGAGCATGAAAAAGACATAGTTGTGTCTCTAAGCCACGAGTCAGAAGCACTGCAGAAAAGACTGGATGCCGAACAAGAAGCCATCCAAAGAATGGAGGCTGTACTGGCATTGGTAGATCGCTTTCCTTCAGATGACGTAGCACCTGGGGAAGGACCCACTCTGCAGGTACATTTACTTAAAATGCAAAAAGGAAAAGAAACATGATTTCCGTTTGGGTTAGTTTTAAGTCTTGAATAAGTCTTCAATATGAAAATGTGCATTTCTTTTTTATGTTTAGGAGTGTGCCCAGATCTTCGAGACCTTGCAAACAGACTTTTATGAAGAATACAAAATGATGGGATTGGCAGACTTAGCAGTAGCAGTTGTTCATCCATTGCTGAAACAGAAACTTTGTTCCTGGGACCCACTGAAGGTATTTTTATTTGATTTTATCTTTTGTTATTAATTTGTCTAAATGTCAAAAAACGGTCTAAAAGGTTTGTAAACAATTTCCAGGACAACTCTTATTTTCTGGAAGATGTTGGTCAGTGGAGAGCAATTCTTGAGTCTAGAGACCTGCACTCTAGTGCTCCAGACTCAAATATGGACCCTTACCACAGGTTATTTAAAGTATCAGCTTCAGATACAGCTGCCCTAATGCTTTAGAACAAATACATGTTTTAAACTTTTTTTTTCTTTTTTTTCAGGCTTTTGTGGGAAGTGTGGATCCCAGTGATACGGCCTTGTGTGTTAGGCTGGCAGCCTCGTATAGTTGGCCCGATGGTAGACTGCTTAGAAATGTGGGCTCCTCTGCTCCCTGTGTGGATCAGGGATCACCTGTTGGAGCAGCTGATCTTACCACGACTACAGCGAGAGGCAAGACATACAGAGCATCTCACCATGAAAACACATTCTTGTTCTTGTAAAATATTTGCTCTTTTTTTTACATATATAACTTTTCTCCAAATTTACAAGATTTGAATTTTTCCATTTTCTGTTAGGTGGAAACCTGGAACCCTTTGACAGACACAGTTCCCATCCACTCCTGGATCCACCCTTGGCTTCCTCTACTACAGTCCCGCTTGGAGCCTTTGTACCCGCCCATTAGAAGTAAACTGTCGAATGCTCTGCAGCGTTGGCATCCAAGTGATTCTTCAGCACGACTTATCCTGCAACCTTGGAAAGATGTTTTTACACCTGGCGCATGGGAAGCTTTTATGGTGAAAAACATCATTCCAAAGCTAGGTAAGTCTTAATATGTAACAGGCTAAAAAATACCACAGTAGAGAAAGTTTGCTTTCTTGTTAATATTTTTACCACTCATTTCTTGTATTTTTATTATTATTATTATTATTGTTTTGTTTTTTGTAGCTTTGTGTTTAGAGGAATTGGTTATCAATCCTCACCAGCAGCAGATGGAGCCATTTCACTGGGTCATGGACTGGGAGGGAATGCTGTCCCCTTCAAGCCTGGTTTCTCTGCTGGACAAAAATTTTTTCCCAAAATGGTTGCAGGTTAGTAACATTTACACATAGTCATACACGATTACTTACAGATTTTTATCAAGAAATAAATTGGATTATGTTTTTGCTATTGATTATAGGTGTTGTGCTCATGGTTAAGCAACAATCCTAACTATGAAGAAATCACTAAATGGTACCTGGGATGGAAGAGCATGTTCAGCGATGCTTTGTTGGCACAACCTGTCATAAAAGAGGAGTTCAATGAAGCTTTGGACATCATGAACCGTGCTGTTTCTACAGCCATGGGTCAGTATTTAACACATTTTAAAAAGATAAAATGTCATTCAGAAAAATGTTCATGCTCTTTATTAACCATAATAATTATGTGTCTACAGGTGGATATATGCAACCAGGTGCAAGGGAGAATATTGCATACCTCACGCAAACAGAGAGAAGGAAGGACTTCCAGTATGAAGCGATGCACGAACGCCGAGAGGCAGAGAGTGTGGCTCAGAGAGGAGTCAGTAGTTCTGGACCAACAAACTTTAAAGATCTTATCCAGACCAAAGCAGAGGAAAATAACATTGTCTTTATGCCATTAGTGGCCAAACGCCACGAAGGCAAACAGCTGTACACATTTGGACGCATTGTCATTTACATAGACAGAGGTGTTGTGTTTGTGCAAGGAGAGAAAACTTGGGTGCCCACATCTTTGCAGAGTCTGATAGATATGGCCAAATAGGGCTAAGCTGTTGAATGTGAAAGATAGACAGACATGATCTGCTTGTGATATTGATTAATACCTGTGTAAACAAGCATCATGTTTTCCAGTAACATCAACTCCGTAGAATAAAGAACTGTTACTTTTTTTCTTCTGATCATGTGTGTTCAATTTTTTTACAGAGGGAGAATAGGAAAAAAACAGAAGAGTGTGCTTCTGTGAAAGTAAAATGCAGGTTATTAGACCTAAGTTTGTGTGCACATTGCCAAAAAGGTGGTCCTTTGTTACCTTACGTGATTTGATTTTCTGTACTTGCTCAGACTAAAAGGGGTGACTGACTGATTTTAAGTCTCTGTCAGCAACAAAAAAAAAAAAAAAAAACTTTAATTGAAACACATGTGATATACTGTGTTTATGTTGTAGAGCACTGTACATTCTATGTCTGTTTGAAATTGTATGCAGCCCTTAGGTTGATACACATTTAAAGACATTGCTTAATCATTGTCTTTTCAAATTGTATTTGCTATTTTTTTGAATGTCAGAAAGTAATCAAATTATATGTTTGTAACACATTTTATATTGTTTCATTTCATTGGTAATTTATAGTATTAAGAAGCACATCGTTACATGAAAACTACTTTAACAATTATTCCAGATAAATAAATAAATTCAAGAATCCCAGTCTTACTGTATTTGTGAAGGTTTTTTTTTGGGGGGGGGGGGGTGAATTTGTTTTACTCCTGTAGGTGGCACTGTGGCAGATGTATTTTGGCACGCCTCAGCTTCCGTCCACGGTCGCGCTCTTTGGTTGGTCAAAGTGGCGAGTACATGTTGAAAAGCATTTGGTTACATTTTAGTTACGGCATCTACAAATTTGGTTCTTCGGGTAAGTGAATAAAATATGTTTGTCGACACATATAATATATAACTCTTTGTTCTGTGCGAAGAAAATATCTCTATGCTGAGTCGACATGTGCGTTATCTATTAGCATCGATAATAGCCTACGAGCTAATCAGTCTTAGCCCCGGTCTTAGCTATGGTTAGGACAATAGAGGAAAATATGTTCGTCATAAACCGAAGTTGTCTTGTTGTTTTTACGATTTAGACAGCAATGTCATCGGACGCCCTAAAGAAGCGAAAATCGAAGGTTCTTCGCAGTGAAGGAGGAACCCCGGAGGTGAAAAAAGGTCGCACTGAAGGAGAACAGCAGGTAACCACAACGCGTCTTTAAGCAACACATAGTGTCTCCCATCTACACATGCACTTGTGTAGGAAGGGGTAAATCAGATATTTATGCTCCATCAAATATCTTTGTAAATAATGGGAAACTCCCACTGCTACATACTTGCTATTTTTATTGTTATTATTTAAAATAGAATACAAACAAAGTCATAGACCATACATAGAACTACTGTAAACACCAGCAGAAAGAAAGCTAGTGCTCTTCACTTCAACTTTCAGGTTGAGAGAGTGCCAAACATTTACCTTTTGTGACTCCAGCTTTGGTTTTCCTCTAAGAAAAATAATTCAAATGTGTATGGACTTAATTTGTAAAATTGGTCTTAGGTGATAAACAAATGTAAGTTATAGTCTAAAAGTTTGGCATCCTGAAATTTGCGTCTTTAAGTTATAATATTTACTTTGCTGTGATATCTGTTCCCAGGAAGCCCGTGTGTATAATGAGGAGGTGGAGCTGGACATCAGTGACCCACAGCAGGACTACATACAATATAAGGAGTCATGTGAGAGTTTGGCCACTCTCATGAATGAGATCCAGGAGCTCAAGGCTAATGGGGCCAAGGAAGGGGTAAGAATCATACCATTTTGCCAATGTATACTAATTACACTCTGATTGCAGGCAAAGCAAACAAATAATTAATTTTAACTATAGATTCAAGTTTCTTTCTTCCTCACAGTGTGCTGAGGTTGAGGAAAAACGTATGCAAAGCTGCATTCATTTCATGAATCTGAAAAAGCTCAATCGTCTGGCTCATATGCGTCTGAAGAAAGGAAGAGACCAAACACACGAGGTAAGTCTCACGGAAATCATCATCATTAACATTGTTTACATTGCGTCACTGTATTTTAGTTGTTTGTGAAAAAAATCTGTATATTTATTGTTGTGCTGATGGAGAAAGAATTGTTGAGCATAGTGAGAGCATAGTGATGCTTTTGTCAGCAAAGAAATGTGTTACATTTTTTACACTTGCTTATGTTTTTGTTTATGTGCTGTCTCTGCAGATTTGAACTTTTTTATATCCTACTTTATGTGCATATATTGTTATGGTTTCTTGGTTTGTGAAAATTTTAACCACTGTTTTTCCCCAGGCAAAACAGAAGGTGGATGTGTTACACCTCCAGCTGCAGAACTTGCTTTATGAAGTTATGCATCTTCAGAAGGAGATTAGCAAGTGTCTCGAGTTTAAGTAAGAATTTTTTTTTTTTTTAGCTGCTAAAAATATTAAAGATTTCACAAGCCATTTTATCACAATCTATTATACTAAGCAAAATAAGTCAAAGATATATAAATATAAGATATTTGTACTTATTTTTTTGTTACTGCCCCAGGTCTAAACATGAGGAGATTGAGTTGGTTTCTGAGGATGAGTTTTACCGGGAGGCTCCTGAGGAAATTTCCAGACCTCACATTACAGAAAGTGATCCCCACCAGCTCACAATGGCTCGACTGGACTGGGAGCTTGAACAAAGAAAAAGGTGTGCATAGAGAATCCACAGGCGATCTACAGTTCTGTTACACAGAATAACATTTGGTAAATTTCCACACTTCATTGCAGGTTGGCAGTGGAATATAAAGAGTCTCTGGCCAGAAAGGAAAAGACCCAGAAAAGCATCGAGGAAAAGAAAGCGCATCTTATGAGTTTGCAGCCAGGATTAAATGCCATTATGCAGGTATAATAAATCTTGTGTTTGATTTTTGACAGGGGTTGGGCCACGTTCTCTGTGAAGATAAGGCGGCTGCCACCAAGCTAATGTTAAATGACTGTGATCTTTGTTCTATTGTAGGCCTCTCTCCCAGTGCAGCGGTGCTTGTCCATGCCTTTTGAACAGACACAGAAACAGAATGAGATTGCTCGCCATCTACCTCCACCTCTCTATGTTCTGTTTGTTCAAGCCAATGCCTATGGACAGGCCTGTGGTCAGTAGTCTTTAGACTGTTCTGTGTTTCGAGATACCTATAATTTATTTTCTCGTTCGAGTCTTAATTTTCACTTTTCTTCTTTAATTTTAGATAAAAATCTCACTGTGTCAATCAGTGGTGATGTGGATGAAGCCAAGGCCTTGTCCAAACCTCCAGAAGATTCCCAAGGTACACAGCCAAATACATTAATGATGAAGCAAATGGATTACTTTTTTCTTTTTTTGTGTGAATGCGTGAAGAGTGATCCCTAAGATACACAAGCCTAAAGTGTTGGTGACCTGTATATTTTAATATTTCATGTTTGTAAAAATACATTAACTATAGGATTTTTTTCTCAGATGATGAGAGTGATTCAGATGCAGAGGAAGAACAAGAGAAAACGGTAAGTCCCAAACACACATACTGTACATCACTCATGTCGGTGAGTGTAGCGGTTTCCTAATAGACTCTTTTCTGCACCAGTCAGACAAATTCTCCTTGAAGCCCTTGCTGTCACACTTTTGTGCTCTCAGGGAGCAGTGGTATTTGATTGCTTCCTGCATCTAAATGATTGTCGGTGTTGGATATTCAAGCAAAATTTTACAAGAATTGGTAGAGTGACTGCAACCTGATCCCTCTTTGGCCACCCACACTACATAGCATGCTATTTTTGTAACAGTTCACCCATAAAGATTTAAACCTTTTACTTACAATTATGTGTCTAGTTGGCTATAAAATGCCTGGTTAAAATACTGTAGTTGCACCATGGCTATCTTGTTTCTCCTGTTATCAGCTGAAAATTATGCAAACGGTTTACTAATTTATTTTCAGTGCCGTAGTGTCATGCACTTCATTTGGCTTCCTCTCATGCTGTCTTGTGTTTCCATTGCCTGTTACTGTCTGTGTCACAGAAGAGGAGGAGACCGACGGCAGGAGGCCAGTTGGATGACAAAAGACGAGAGATGCTGAAAAGGCATCCACTGTCACTGTGCTTAGAACTTAAGTGCAAAGGTAAACATTTCAAGAAAAAAGTGCTACACCTATGGTAAATCAGACATATTGGCTAGGCTCCGAGCTGAGACTGTATACTGTATTTGTAGTCATTTCTCAGATTTATTATAGAACGAAGCTTGTAACAGATTATTCCAAAGACTTGATACAGGCCATCATTTCAGCATCGGCCTTTGGTTCTGATGGGATGGGTCCAGACTGATCTGATCCATAAACATTCCAGAAACTATCACAAAACTGCTCTGCTTAACATTCTGTAAAAAGAGACAACACTACAATGTAAATGACAGTTGATTAGCCTGTTGCTGTTGTAGCGTGGAGTTTTATACAATATTTTCTCTAGAAAAGAAAAAACAACCAATGTGACATTTAGACACCAGAGTGCCAGCATGTCAGCTGATTTGTTATGATACTCGGATTTAATCTTTGCACAAACTTGCACTTTTTGAATGTTTGAATTAAGTAATCAAAAACGCTGTATCTAAGATTAGTTTTAAATAAATAGCAGATACAGCAGTATTAATACATTATCCATACAAAGTAAAATCAATACATTTATAATACTGCAGGTTGCATTATCAGTATTTTACATGAAAGATTGATATCCAGCTCCCCCTACAATTCTTGGGTTTTCTTTTTAATAAACCATGTTTTACGTTGGTTTTATTTAATAGCAAAATGTTCTCTAAGTGTAAGTTAACTTCAATGAACTATTTGTAAATGTAATCATTGCATTTATGGCACCATCTTTTAATACGTCAATAATGGTAATGCTACAAAAGTAGTGATGCAATAAATAAGGCTCAGAATCTTTGCCATAGAAAACATGTTTAACTCGGTCTAAAGACACCATTTGAGACTACATACTAATGTGACATATACGAAATCATATACCTGTGAATTTGATTGATATCTTACTCTGGATATTATTTATAAAGACATCATTAGCCACAGTTGAGTTGACATGTCTACCCCTTTATTTCCTGTGGTGGTGAGAACTGGAATGGTGACAGTTTACACAGAAACCTGCATTGCAGGAGTAATTCTACCAAAGAGGGGAGGAGGGTGTAGTGGGTGAGGGGAGAGGAGAAGAGAAGGGAGGGGTGCTTGCAGCATTGTGAGTCTGCACTACCTGCAAAAAGCTAGAAATCACATTTCTGTGTTTTGTCTGCTTCTATTTTCTGTGCCTCCTCTCTCTCCAGAAATGCTTCCAAACATAGCAGGCATTTCACTATAGCAAAAGACAAAAAAAACAACAGCTGCAGTAACACAGTCTTGCACAGACACAACAACAGAGTGTATCTGACTGCAGCGAGTGTGAGATATCTTTTTGTGTAGTTAGTATGTGTCCCATGCGTGCTGCCATCAGCTATTCTGACCTTGCCTTGCTCTCCGTGTCTGTCGCTGCAGTGCAAAGAAAATTTGACCGGGGCGGGGGTATTCAGTGATTTCTTTTTTTTTTCATAGAGGCTTGCTGAGGAACTGTTGAAATATTCAAATGAGTCACCATGTGACATGCTCCTTGTCTCCACAGATTGCAGTATTCTCCACCTTGTTTTCTACCATCTGATGAATCTGAATATCATGACTGTGAAGACCAAGGTCTCTGCCTTCGCTGAACTGAACACTATCCTCAGTGCAGAGTGAGAGTTTGATTATATGGACTCAAACAGTCATTCAATGTTCTGTGGGCTGATAATTAATAGTGTATTCACTGTTCTGCAGGGAACTGCTGAAATCAGACACTCTACTCAATTGTCTCTACACCGGCGACCATGGAAAGGAAACACCAAATCCAGCTAATCGCTACCAGTTTGACAAAGTTGGGTGAGTTAATTAGATGTAACATGTTTTTTTTTTTTTTTAATTTCATACCTAAACATGAACCTGCACATGTGTGTACGCAAACAAAAATGTCAGTGCAACAACTGTTACTGTGCAACAAAGCATCTATAGGTTTAATATTAATACATTTAATACTATGCAAAGGTAGAAAAGCTGTTGTGGCTGTCTGACTGCCAGACAGCTCACCTTCTGTTATGGTTAAATTTACTGTTAACATGTCAAGGTTCAGTGAATTATGGTAAATGCTGGGATTTCATTCTGTCATTGTCTTTTAGGATTCTTTCCTTTGGGGATTATG